GGCATACTTGACACTGCCCCATGGACATCTCCAAGTCAACTGGGACCAAATGTTCAAAACCCAATCAATGGTCTTGATGTCAAAGACCTACAACTTATCCATTGTCCTCTTTTCCTTGTAAATGGTATCGACATCTCTCCAACCACACAAGCCAGAAACTTGGGAAGCTTTGGTCAACATTGCTTGTGGATATTTACTTCCTATGACTTCTCAAATGCGTAGCAACCTTGGAGCTCGCTGCTGTCACTCTTGTCTGAGAACTGTCATTTCCTCACTTGAGCTTTAGAAGTCTACAAACCAGCTCTCACTTCTGGATCATCCAGAATGATCCAGTGATCATTCGGTGATGTCCAGTTGTATATCATGTCACCCCTCACCTTTTCTATCCATCCCACTGTACCCCATCTCTCTGATCTAAAGGCTGGTAGAGACTTCCTACTCTTTTTAAGCCCAGATTCTTCCAGTGTGCTGCTGGACATCCCTGGTCTAAGTAGTCTCACAGCCTTTGGACTGGGTCACCTCCCTGCTCTCATTCATTCGCTAGGCTCCAGCCATCCTGTATTTCTTCTCTCATTCTTTCTTTAAAAACTTTAAATTCTTACTTCATGTGATTGGTTATTTCACCTGCTTGTATGTCTGTGCATCACATTCATGAAGTCCCTGGGAGGCCAGAAGAGGGCGTCAGAGCTTCTGGAACTGGAGTTATAGTCAGTTGTGAGCTGCCATGTGGATGATGGGAACTGAACCCAGGTCCTCTGGAAGAACAGCCGGTGCTCTTAACCACTGAGCCACTTCTCCAGCTCCTGGTTTTATACTTACCTTATTCCAAGTCTTCCTAACTTCAGGCTTGTACATATTCTTCCAACTCCCCTGACTAACAACCTAGACAGCGAGCAGATCATGGCTCGACCTCATTTTACGGCATGATCTCCTGAGTGCTCTTCTTCAGGACCCTTCCATAGACGCAGGCTTATAATGATGCTCTTTGATGGCTGTCTCCTTCAAACCCTTAAGCTCTGAGCCCAGAGGCTTGTCCTATCCCCAGCACAGAGCCAGGCAGGCACGGGGTAGTCCCAGCAGTACTATCTATTGAATGACTAAATGAAAGAAAGCATTGTGTCGGGTTCCATTGGTAAAATACGAGTGAAGTGCAGAAGCTCCAAGAAAGCAGCTCACAGGTGGAGTGGGAGGAGAGACAAGCAGACGAGAGGATGAGCAAATGACCCAGGGTGGCTTAGCACGAGGAACTGGCCAGCCTCCCAGTGTTGCCTAAAGCCAGCTCCCCACCTCCAGGCTAAGCTCAATTCGGGTGTCTGTTGACTAACTTGACATCCTCTGGAACCCCGAGTCACAAGAATCTGGGCATCCTGGGAATGGTCTGCCATGCAGTCACTGGGTCCTAGCCACGGCAATGCCGTCCCACACTGGCACATATGCTCAGGAGCAGAGCGGGTGCACTTGAGAGGCCCTGCTGGTAAAAGCACTGTGTGGAGAGCACAATGGAGTTCAGAAGAGCTCATGGGGACCTCTTCATATCCTCAGACCAGCCCTGGTGAGGCATGGAAAGGTAATGGGTTTCTTCTCGATGGACAGTTGGGGACACTGAAGTCAATAGCGATCACTTGACTTGGCTGAGGAATGGGAACAGCTTAGGAACAGAACTTGAAGACAACCCAAGGTCCTCTCTACTGACCAATGGGTAGAGGGCATGCTGCTCTGGAGCCTGCCCTGCTTATTCACGTTGGGGCATCTTCTGCAACTACAGAATGTTCAAGTAGCCGGGCTGCAGAGATACCTGATTCTCTCCCCTTTAGAGCTTCCTTCCCTTCCAGGCACCCTGCCTGGGGTGGTAGACACTGTGAGCAACCTACCCAGGCCTCTCCTCTCCTCTTTGCCTCTGTGCCTAGGCTATGGTTCCCAGTTTCCTTCCCAGTTGGGTGAAGACTATTGTCGTGTTCTCTGTAGGGGACTGTGAGAGGAAGTGAGGCATGCCCCTCCCAGGCCTGGCTCATCAAAGTTTCTGCTGCTTACCTCAACGTCCTTTTCATCTCTGGCTCATGGGAACACTGAATCCCAAGCAGAGTTGGAAGCTGTGGATTGTAGAACGGCCAAGCCAGCAGGCTGCACATCCCTAAAAGTGTGAGAAAGAGCCACCTGGCAGATCTTACCTCAGTGTGGAAGGCTGTTAAGTGAACAGGAGTGGAACATCGTGGGGTTACACTGCCTAATGAAAAGTCCTTTCTGTTACTGCAAACCAAAGTGCGAACACTTCTGTAAACACTTTGACCCTGTGTAGTGTCTGGAGGCAGAGGCACTGGATTCCTGCTGACGTGACAGCCACATGATGTGCCCTCACACCTCCCTCTGCAGCCCTAGCCCACAGCTCCTTTGAATTTGGCCTGAGATGTTTCAGTCTGGATCAACAAGCAGACTCCCAATGCAGGACTACATCTGTGAGGTCATCTTATTTTACTCCTGGCTCCAGAGAGACGCTCTTCTAAGTCATCCGAAATGATCGGGACTCTTGTCTGTATTGGCACATGCCCAGGGAAGTGATACCAAGCCCCAAAAGGCAGCAACTAGAAGGATTGCTGGTGGCATTCTTCAGATACCTGCCTGCCAGGAAGGGCCATTTCCCCTGGTGTAAAGCTGTGGTTATATACCAAAGTCCACACTGACCTCCAGGTTCCTCTAGTCCCTAGTAACAGGTGCCTGCTATGAATATCAAAGCCAACACTCCCAGGCTCTTCCAAGCCCTCCACCCACCCTGCAGTTTCCTGTTCTTGGTGAGGTTTTCACTCCCTGACCTTCTTCCCACCTTTCCCGTCTGCTCCCAAGGCCAGTGTTCCCTTCCCTTACCCCTCCATCCCTGAGAGCCAGCCTTGGCTGCTTCGAACTTCCCAAATGCCTCTGGTTATTCTTTCTCTCACATTTACAATATACCTTTCTTTCAACTGCACCCACAGAGTGGCCCTGTTTGGTGGCTTCACTGTGCCCCCCCCACTTATATGTCCTGTTTCAACAGTCTTGTACCTTAAAACATGGGGCACAGAGCACTTCTTAGCAATCATCTAGGGCAATCTGTTTTATAGATGAAGTATGGCACAGTGGTAAAATCAGGAAAAGAAGCAGTTTCGACAGAGACTGCTGTTTGCAAGTGTCTGTCCTCAGTGTGGAGGTGAAAAGGTTCTGGGACCCATCTACACTGTCGCCAACCTTCACGGGTTTCCAGTGTCTCCCCCTTTATCCACTGGCCAAGCTGGCAGTTACTCTGAGTGTTCCTTGACTTAGATGGTAGAGAGATTAGAGAGATGAACCTGATGCCTAAGGGGAGGGGCAGGTGGCAGGTGCGATGCCCTGGAGCTTTGGCAGGAAAGGAAAGATTCCCAAGTGAGCTGTCTGAATGCACATGAGAAGCCTGGACAGACCTTTAAGCCCTTAAACCTTCCTGCTTGCCTGACTGGGTGACTTGGCCTTTGGCTTGTCTTCCTTTCTGTTGAAGGGAGGGTCAGCTGCAGTGACCAGAGCCCCTGAGCACAGTGTACTGGCCGGTTGGAGTTGTCTAGCTGGGTTTGGGCTGCTGCATGGTCCTGCCCATTAGTGGGAGCTGTGTCCAGAGATGCTGAGCTCGGTCAATGCTTGGATTTATTGACTGATTGATTGATTGAGAGGTCTGAGTACCACTTCATGAAACTTAGGTTTCTTTGTGCTCATGCATATAAGGTAAGCTTGTTTATACGGAGCATCCTTTGTTTTCTGCCAAATGACTCACTTGCACTGAGTCACCAGGAATGGGTCTAGGCCCATCTGCAGCCGCCCTGGACATTATGATCTGCTCATTTCCCTGGAGGTGGGTCATGAAGGCTCGGAGACAGACAGAGGCAGAGAAGTGGGGAAAGAGACAAGCCCTTTTTCCTGAGCATTTGGTAAACAGACAAAGGACCCCAGCGCATCTGAGAGCATCCCAAGGGAGCTATGGTTTTCATTTTGGTTGAGACATTGTCTGAATTATTGACAACTCTAAACTGTGAGGTAAGAATGAAGCCACATGGTCATTCAGTGAGAAGTCCTTTAATTGCTGGGGCTCCTACAGACTTAAGCAAGTTGGTTCCCCATTTTGAACTGTTCTTTCTTTTCTTACAAAGGAAGAGATCTGGGTCCTAAATTTTGGACATTGTATCATTTGCCTCCTGGGGGCGGGGAATAAAGACACACACAGATCTCTACTTACCAAGCAAATTTATCGACACCCAGTCCTGGACCATCTCCCCTAAAGGTTTCATTTTAACTTTAGTGTAGGCTGTGTATCTTTTTTTGTTTAATCTGCAAATTGCTGTCGTTTTCCTAGCTATGTATGTGTTTGCCCTTCCCCCAGCCTCGGTTCACAGTTTTCTTTTCCCTGTGTCCCAGCAGCAACATCTCGGCAGAACTCTGGTGTAAGCCACAGACAGTGACAGCATGAGAAGGGAATCAGGCTTTCCTGCCTGTGGCTGACACAAGCTCATCACTAGCACTGAGGGCCCAAAAGGGCAGCGGTGGGGATGCGTTAGGGCCTCTTCAGATCTTTAAGGGCAATGCGGGCGGGCGCATGGCGCCAAGCAGGTCCTGGGCTCCACTTCTCTGTTCTCTGAACGCATGCTGTATACTCACCTGGTATCAATTACATTGCCAGTACCTACTTTTCACAGACCTACTGTGTGGCTAAGGAGCTGGGGAAGTGCCCACCTCCAACCCCGTTCCATTTCTCTAAAATCCAAAGCGATGCTCCAGGGCGTGGGCCCATTACAAAAGTTGTGCAGGGCCTCCATGAGCTCACCCTGGGGTTCCCTGAGCTCACCCCGGGGACCCAGACCGCCCCCGCCCTCTTCCTGCCCTCTCCCCGCCCCCAGGCCCCCGCGCGGGGGCCGGTGATGTCAACTGAGGAGGAGCCGCCCGCCCCGCGACCCGCCCGGGTTGATTGGCGTGTGGTGGCGCCGGGGCAGCCTCCGCCCTCCCGCAGCTCGCACAACTTTTGTGACTGGGAGCGCACTCGCACCCAGCTCCTCTCGCCGCCGCCCTCTGCCCGGCGCCCCGGCATGTGAGCGCGGGCGGCCGCCGCCACCATGGCCTCGCCGCGCGCCCCGCGGTGGCCGCCACCGCCGCCGCTGTTGCTGCTGCTACTGCTGCTGCTGCCACCGCCCGCCACCCCCAGGACGCGGGGCCCCCTACCCTCCCTGGCCAACCACGCGCTCCTCCCGGCCGCAGGACCGCCTTTGCCGCCTGGCCCCGGACATACGGCCCCCGGGCCCGGTGTCACGACCCGGCGGGGACGTTCTGGTCGAGTCCCCAGAGGCGTGAGAGCGGGTGAGTGCTAGCCACTAGCGTGGGACAGGGGGCGTGGGCGCTCCGGGGATAACCCACCTGGGCCGTGGCTCCGTGGACCCCCGTGGGTGGAACTGTGAGAGTGGACCGAGAGGGAGAAACGTGTCCCTAGCCACTGGACTAAAGTGTACCCATGCGTTCCCTCTCTGAGCTTTGGAAGAAAACTCTCTCATGGGGTAGCCTACAGCCATGTCCCTTTTACAAAAAAAAGAGACACCCCCCAAAGCTCCTCTCACACCTCGTGGGGTGGTAACTTCTGGCTACTGTCCCCTGGTTCCAGCCTTTTCTCCCCGGACAGATGGAGAACTGGTCTCTCCAGGTCCAGAGCCTGACTTTCCAGTCTAAGTAAATAACGGATTTTGGAGTTTGAAAGGCTTCTAGCACTTAGGGTATCATAAAGGACAAAGGGTGCACTTTAAAACAAAACGAGATACCTAGTCGACCTTAAGAGCGGGTACTTGGAGTGAGGGCTGGGGGGCTGCGAGGTTGAACCCCTACAAGACACTAGGGACTGTCCTGAAGCCCTTCCCTCCAGTCCCCAGCCAGCTGCTTGTCCTGGTCACGGAATGGGAGCCCAACTCCTGTCCCTGGTGTCTTTGTTTCTGGTTCCTTTTTTCTGGTGGAAGAAAATGCCATGGCCTGGGTAGGATTCTAATCTGATGCCCTTATGACCTTGGCAGTGTCCTGTCTTTGTATCTCAGTTTGCCCATCTGTGAAATGGAAGGACCCCGTTCCGCCTAGCCTTCTGAAGATGATGTGACAAAATGAAAGTAAACACAATAGAAAAGTGCTGTGAACAGTGTCTAGGTGCTGTTAGCCTTTCATCTTCCGGTGGGAGGTGCAGGACACACACAGGGCTCTGTTGCTGCTACAGGGCTGGGGCTGGCAAGATTTTGTCCACTTTTCAGTTCTCTTGTCTATCTTGCGTGTTTCACAAACTTTCCTCCAACCTGATCATCCTTGGGACATAGAGGTATTTCCTCGAATTGAGTAAGAAAAGATTTCTACCCTCATAAAACCTCAAGTGCAAATCCAGCAGTACTCTTGTCTTCCCTGACTGCCTAGTCCTGTGAACTTGTGGGTCCCTGGCCCAAGACAGGGAAACTGAGGGACTGTGAGCCCAGGAGGGGGAAACAGCTCTGAAGGCCCATATAGGCATGTGCTGCGCAGCCCCTTGTTTAACTGAGCTCCACAGAAAGGAATTAAGAGCTTAGAAGACATTCACTGGCTTTCTCGGTGTAGAACAGTAACTGGCAGATCCTGTAGGCATTTTGTGGGGTGTTCTAGATGCAGTGGGGTAGGAGACTGATAACTCCCAGGGCCACTCAGGAACCCAAGGCAGCTGTCAGTAGCTGGTGCTCAAGCTGAGGGCTCTATCTTGTGAGGGGATGTGAGGGAGAGAGAGGTGCTGTCTTGTGAGGTCCAGCCTGAGGAGGCTGACACGGGAGGGATTCTCCTTCCTAAGGCAGGAATCTCCCCGGCTCTCGTGGAGGTGAGCGTAGCAAAGGGACTGGATTAGGGGAAATAAAGTAAGAACCGAGTCCTTAAAGAGCCATGCTTTCATGCTTCCCTCACGGCCATGGCCTTGACTTTGCAGCCTTCTCTGTTTCCTTTGTTCTGGAGGTGAGCAGGACAGAGGCTTCAGGGAGAGAGGGAACTGGAATAATCCAGATTTTCCTGAGGAGGTCTCCGGATCTCCTGGTGCCCCGGCAGACCATTGTCCACTGTTGCCCTGAGCCCAGCCTGGGTTGGGGATGTTTGGAGAGTAAGATTAAAGAGGTGAAATCCATGACCTCTTGAAAACTGCTAAAAGTTACCAGTATGACCGAGGATCCAGGCATGACCTTTGTCTGGTTTCTGCTAATGCCTCAAAGGATGTCACTCTGAAGAACAAGGAAGCAACAAACAAACAAAACAACAGTGATCGATTAGTGATTCAGTGAGCCAGCTTTTTACAACCTCTGATGATTTTCCTGGCCCACTCTGATTGGCCGCCACACGTCACTCCCCAAGACATCACATCTTCAGAGATCTCGGAGTCCTTAGACATCTAGCCTACCTGGCACTGGGTCAGATAGTCACCCATGCTCTGTGTCCACACAGTTTGTGGGGGAGGTAGGTGTTCTTCCTGGCAACAAACCTTGAGTCACAAAAATAATGCCCTTAATTTCATAGTGGGAGAAACTGTTGTGAGCTGCTTTCTGGGGTGCTGGTGACTAGTGCCTGGCCATCTTGGCCTGGACAAATATAAATATTCCCCCTTGAGCAACAGGAACTAGAGGTTTTTTTTTTCCTTCTTAGAGGGTCATTCTAGCTCTCCTCTTCCCACTGAGTTCAAGGTTCTCACTGCTGGGTGGCTGTGTTTGCATTCCATTTGTGGGCTGTTTGCCTATGTGACTCTGTCCTCCAAGGAGAGCAATCCCGTTTGGATAGTCACTGTTTGGCTTTCACGCCCACCTGTCACCCTGCTCCCCTGTGTTTGTTGCTTTAGCCATCAGTGAAAGGGGGCTGAAAGCTAGACATTTCCTTTCTGTCTCCTTTCCTATGACCTAAGCCTGAGAGTCGCAGTTCTGAGCTGAGTCCACAGGCCACACTTTTGTAAGATCTGCGGGTGATAGAGGGGGCAGGAAGGTGGAAGCGGAGCCTGGAATCATCATGAGAATCCTTGCAGAAGGAAAGAGCTCTCCCACCCACAGGGGGAAAGACGCTAAGTAATTAAGTAACCAGTCCAAGGAATACTAATCTTAGAAAAATGTGGCTCCCTGAAGGAAGGGCTATGAGCCCAGCCCCTTCTGAGCTGTTAAATGGCTGTTCACAGATCTCTCTAAACCTCTGGCCCAACCTCATCATTCACCATTGCAAGGTGCTATGAGGGCTGTTTGGGGAAGAGTCGGCCCTCTCAGGGACAGGAGAGTGTTTTTCCCCCCAGGAATGTGACCCTACTGACAGAGGCTGAGTAAGAGGTGGTTCCGGGCATCAAGAAGCCTGCTTCTTTGACAGAGGTTGTCACATGTATACAGAGGGACTTGGTGTGTGCAGGGTGCTGAAAAACTGCATCCTTTGTGGACTTGTAACCTCTCTCCCAGTGCATGCAGATGCTGACCTCATGTTTTCTGCACATCAGCTGACTTGTGTGGACAAGGGGAGACTTCACTGGGCCTGTGCCAGCTGGGCGGTTACTGCCTACTAAGCCCAAGAACAAGGATAGGACCCTCTGCCCTTCCAGTGATCTCTCTCTCTGTTTTCCATTGTCACTGGTCAGCAGTCTGAGTGTCCTTATTAGGAGTCAGAAAGAAGGAAAAGCAGATGGCAGTTGCTGTGTCCTTAGCTAGGTACCGACCTCCTCAGCATCTTCCCTCTGCCCCAGCATCTTCTCTATGTGAGCAGGACGTCTGAGCTGTAATCAGTGCCTTTCTTTGAAGAATCCTCAGGAGCCAACAGGGAAAGAGACTGACTAACCCTTACTACACTTGGAGCTCCTATGTGGGGTCTGTGCATTTCTTATTCCATTTCACCCTCCAAACAGTCCTGCCACAGGTATTGCTTCCCATTTATTTTCCCTCTATGGGAAATGAAGTCTAGGGTGGTTAAGTGGCAAGAGAATAGAAGGAGGCTGGATTTAAGCTGATTTCAACCAAATTCATTAGCTCATCCCACCATGTTTCAAGGTCTGTCTCTCACCTGTTGGATAGGACAACCTTGTTATAGATTTTTAGGGTCCTTCCAGCTCCCCATTCTTGCCTTTGCCTAAGATTGGGGACCATGAAATGGCCATCATAATGCTCATAGATAATTTAAAAATTATTTGTTTTTATTCGTGTGTGTGTGTGTGTGTGCGTGAGAGAGAGAGAGAGAGAGAGAGAGAGAGAGAGAGAGAGAGAGAGAGAGAGAGAGAGAGAGAGAGAGAGTGAGTGTACATGCACGTATGCTTGCAAGTATCTGTGAAGACCAAAGGTATCGGATCTTCTGGAACTGGAGGTTATAAACTGCCCAGTGTAGGTTCTGGGAACAGAACTCGGATCCTCTAAAAGAACATTATACACTCTGAACCTCTGAAATCATGTCTCCAACCCCAAGAGGGTAGATTTTAAGATTAGTTTTAGAGCCAAGAGGTGGTGGCACACACCTTTAATCCCAGCACTAGGGAGGCAGAGGCAGGCGGATCTCTGAGTTGAGGCAGGAATGATCTCCAGGAACCCTGTCTTGAGAATAAAAGTTATTTTTAGGAGTGGGATTGGGAGATAGGGGTTAGGGGATTGCCCAAAAAAGGAATTACATTCAAACATGTATAGAATATGTTATATTATTATGATGTGCGACACACACATGTATATGCCAATCCATAGGTTATGGGCTCCTGTGGGCTCTTGGCCAGGAACATGGGACAGTGACTAATGTGGCGTTTGTCAGTTGCTATCAGTACCTGTTCTGTTAAATGGGAAAGCGTTCAGCAGTTGTCAAATCACTTTCATTTTAATGTCTCTACTCCCACTGGCCACTCACTTTTCATTTTCCTCTAGATGTAAACAAAGGGATTCCTGTCCAGCCTTTTCTCCTCTTCTTTTGTCAGAGTAGACAGACGTCCCCCGCTCCTAAAAATAATCTTAAAATCTACCCTCGCAGGGCTGGAGAGTGGCTCAGTGATTCAGAGGGCATACTGCTCTTTCAGAGGACCTGCGTTCAGTTCCCAGAACCTCACTGGGCAGCTCACAACCACCTGTAACTCTGGCTCCAGGATACCTGGTGCCTCTGGCCTCCACAGTCCTCTGTACTCATGAGAAAACACACACACACACATATACACACACTCACACACACACTCACACATACACACACACCTCCACTAAAAATAACTAATTTTAAAATTATTTTTAATAAATTCTCTGTAGGTTGCCATTATCTTGATTGCCACCTCATTCCAATCATGGTTTCCAATCTTGTGAAAAGGTGAGAGCAAGCAATCCATGTCCTATTGGGCTGGT